GCCAAATTCAGGTGAAGGCTCTGTGATATGAACATTCATCCAGAAAGAATTGGAACGTGACTATGTAGTCAAAGAAACTACAAAATTAGCAAGCTCTGATCACCACCAAAAACCTAAGTCAAACTAGGTTATCACATTATTAACCCACAGAGCCAACATGAATAGTAAGATATATACATGGAAGATGGATGGATTCCTTTGAATCTTACTTTAGGTGAAATCCCTCTTCTACTCTGAATAACAAGCTACTACATTTCCCAAGTGATGCAATAACTTCAAACACAAAGTGGTCTTTCAGTTGGGCCACTCTTTTTCTTCTCCAGTATGTAAATAAATGTGAAGATCTGACTGAAATAAGTTTGACGTTTTTACATAGCAGCAAACTTCAATTTACACAGCCTTCACCAAAGGTCTCAGGGGCATGAAACATAGTTTTCTTTAAAATTTTGTAAATGAATACTCAGTACAAGTTGAGATTCTTCCCTTCTAACTTTCTTCAGAACTATAAAGTCATTAAATGTCTCTGTATTGCTTATTGAGCCACTCAAGCATAGCTAGAACATGATAGATTTCTTCATGGCCATTTCCTTCCATCTGGGGTGATATAAGGACAACTGTTTTATTTTTGCAATACTTGCTAGGTTATACCAATTGTAAAGTGATTACAGAGGATGTGTACTGTGGCCAGCATGCTTTTCCCTCACTCTTACTTCCTATAAATTCGCTGAGATGCTGACCATCTTTCAAACTAAGGACTGAATAATTGTGGTATGTGTTAACTATGGTCCATCAAAAAGAGGATCTGGGGAATTTTGGAGTTAATTTCTCTTGACTCTATTCTTCAGGAAGAAACAAGTGGATATTACTAAACTTTGCACCAAAGCAAAATTATATAAAGATAAGCTTAAACAATTAGTAAATGTCTAAACTACTGAAAACACTGTGGTGACACCTTCACATGACTTGCCATGGCTGTCTGTCTTGGAATTTGAAACGAATAAAATAAGAGTGCTAGGAAATCATCAGGTACTTATCCACAGGATCTGTACACTGTAGACATTATTCAGACATTTTTAAGAAGTCAGGTTATTATTTTTAGAAATAAGGATAGAAAGCAAAGCTCAAAAAGTTCCATGAATTCACTAAAATCAAATATCTGGGTGCATCTTTAATTTAAGGGCACCTTCTTTTAGAAGGAATACAAAACTGATTGAAGCATATACGAAATACATTAATATTGCAAGTAAATGTGCATTACAAATTATTCAAATAGAATATTGTGATGTAGTTTATCCAAAATAACTTGAGTATAACAGGTTTCTCTGGTTCATAGCTATTTAAGACAATACAATGCATCCCTTAATCTGTCAACATTCAACTTACCCTCAGCATGGGGCCATTCTGAAACACATGTGGTTCATCACAAACTACACAGTATTCGTTCAATACGGGTATCCGCTGCTCAGCAAATTCAATAGTCTGAGAACAATGAAAATGAGAACAACATCATCTGCTTAAAATAATTAGCAGGCAGCTCATGCACCAAAGTATTTCTAAAATGGATAGATATCATATCTTACCTGCACAAGAAAGCCATGGTCTCGTACTGGAATGCATTTTGCACCATAATTTGGCTGTAAGGAAAAAAGTGAGGCACTTCAGTGCATGGAGGCTAATTAGATTTTTAGTTTATTATTTTTTTTTGTGGAGATGCTAAAATTGTATTTTTTTCTTTGCAAATCTGTCAAATAATATTTGCATCTGGAGAGATCTGCAGCTTACACAAATCATCCAAAATAAATTCATCTGTCTTTTTGATATTGCCTATGCAGCTTTTGCTTTATCTGTCCACTGGCAGCTTGTGTATCTGGACCTAACCATTCCAAACACTAATCTCAACAAAAAGCACAACTGCTAAACTCCATGCTGGTGTACAAACATTAAACAATTGTTTTCAAGCGGAGCTGAATGCTAGTTTTAAAATTTAATTTTGTGCATTCTCTCTCCCCGCATATACATACATATTAATTATATATTTAGACTCACATTTCTAAATTCCCTTTAAAACAAAAACAAAATTGAACTTCCCTTTCTCTTATGCTTTACTGATACCCCTTCCTTGAGTATCATCCTAGTTCAGGGGTGGCTGACCCATGGCACACAAGCCGTAAGTGGCCTAGGCAGTTGCTGTGTGTGGCACTCAAGCCCAGGGAGCTCAGAAAAGAGCGGCCAGAATAGAAGCAAGAGAGCACAGAGCCTCCAGCCAGGTACAGCAGAATAGAGGCAGTATGCTGCTGCAAGAGAAGATGTCAAGTTCATTGCCAAAAGCTGGATGAACCCTTCCCTTGCCCTGCAGCTGCTGCCAATTTTAAGGCTAACTATATAAAACTGTAGCAGTTGCAGTAACAGGTAAGCATTAATTCAGAGGTATTGAGCCCTCCTGCCCCCATTTTGGCACTCCAGGACACAAACTCTATCAGGCACGGCTTTCAGGGGCACAGATCAGGGCAGCATTTGAGAAGGGTCACAGCTTAACATGTGGCATGCCTAAAAACTAAGGTTGGCTACCACTGTACCTAGCATCGTTGTTGCTTTCTTTCAATTTACAGTGACATATTAGGTTATAAGGTGGCCAAAGGGTATGGAACACTCCCACCTACCATCTGTCTCAGTCCAACATTTTACCTTCAGTGAGACTTACATCAGGCTATTATGCAGCTTTTGTTTACAGGTCTGTTTTCCATCTCATGACTTTATTTGCAGAACTTTCCCCTGACTCCATGTAGGAAATGGCTCTAAAACTTATTTTTCTAGATGTCACGCCAACAATTTTGGCAAGATAGCAGAAAGGTTTTAATACATGTATTGCCCATGTTAGGCTTGATGGCACTCACTCAAGCCAACAGAATTGCATCTCATAGTATATAAGCTTGGTTTGTTTCAAAAGTAATATAATAATAAAAAATATTATGAAGAGTAGTTTTTATTATTATAGTCTGTATCTCTTCTTGCAGTATCACTGATGCCAATATCACTAATGACAGCACCCAGAACCTGAACAAATCTTCATTATCTTGCCAAAGTTAATGTTAGAGTTTCTACTGATTTCAAGTGGATGCCTGTTTAGGCCTCCAAAGCAGGGGCATCATCAAAGTTCAAAAGGAAAAATGAATTCCAAACATACGGTATGGTTGAAACATTTTTTTCCATTTCATCTTTAGTTAATGTTGGGTGTATAAGCTGCAGAACAATCAAGTAGCATGCACATAAACAATTCTCTTGAATCACACCGTATCGGTGCCTTTAGATACAGTGAATACTGTCCATAAACAACTTACTAAACTAATTTACCATGAAATGAAACACATTCAGTATAATTTAATTAGAAGAATACAATATTTTGCAATTATACAGAACCTTTCAACCAAGGATCTCAGAGACTTTTCAAGATAGGAAGCTCGAAGTAGTGTGAAGCTATGGGCTAGATCTAAAACACTTAAGTACCTGAAGTAAAACTTAAGCAGAATTTAGGCACCTGAACTCCTGCTTGATACCCAGCAAACCTCTTACTTGCCTGATAGTCTATAGGTGTCTGAGATTTCTGTCAAAAACTTACTTAGGCATCTGAACTTCTGCTCTTGCAAATGCCCAGGGGTACCTCCATCTGGTTGATCTGAACATCTCAGCACCTATCTGCTGCCTGAAGCCATTTGGAATTCACAAAAAATGCATTTCCAAGCCCTGAGGGGCCTGAATCAATAAACATATCCAGCACATCTCTAATGCATCCTGAGTTCAGCGCGCAGCATCACAACCACAGTGATTTTTCATTTGAAAACATAGCTGGTAGTAGTGCCTCTGCCTGCCTTTTTGTATAATAGGACAGTGTACTTGCTCCGGAAGTAGGAGACCTGGAAAAGCAAGTTGATTCAAATCCCCATCAGCCATTTCCCCAGTGAGGACCTGGACCACCATACTATGAATTAGTTTGGGATGGCAGCATTATCCCTCCTATGCATATTCTTCAGTGGTTGCTTTATGCCAAAACATGTAAGTAGTTCCTAGGGGAGGGACTAGGATTCAGGACTCGCTTTATCCCAAGGTGACTGTCCTCATCACAGAGATAGAGTCATGCTCTCTCTCCTTTTGGGCCCATGAAGCTGAAATTCCTGGCTGCCTGCTGCACAGCTTTTCAGGAGGGGTAGAGTGGGCCACAATTCCAGCCCATCTTGTAGCCTGCCAATTATGGCATTTCAAACTGTTTGAAACTCCTCAAGGTGAAAAAAAAGATTTGAACTCAGGTCTCCCATTTCCTGGGCAGCACCACAACCACCCATGCTTTTAAAGAAAACAGTAAACTAGTCGTCCATATCTAATGGGACCAGTTAGGTGCCTAAGTGCAGGAAGGGGTTGGGCCTCTGAATCCCAGGCTCACATGCCTAAACCCAGGGGAGAGGTAGAGAGAGAAAGCACCAGTTTTGCATTTCTTAATGGGTAGCTTAGGCTTCCTCTGGTCCAGGTTGTGCCTGTTTGGGTGAATGCCACTTTGAGAAACCTCATTTTCCCTTTTCACTGCCTAGAAATCTTGGGCATCTAATTCAGGTTGGAACACTCCAATCCCAGAGCTTAGATACTGTACATCATCACATCTAACTGCTTCTGTGGATTGAGCCTGGGTGTTCATTAAGGGTTATGGATAGAACCCAAGTCTCTTAATGCCTTTTCCCACATCTGACACTTGAGACAGTCCAATACCTTGAAACAGGAAAAAAAGGTCAGCTCTTACTCTAATATTACAGAATCTCTCCCAGGTTTTGATACTCACTTATAGAAAGAACTACGTTTGAAATTCATTTACGTGCACTGAACTTCTGTTGTGTTACAGATTTGAACCAGTCATTTATATTGGTTTATGTGTAATGTCTGTCCCTAGCCCTTGTGAATATGTGTAAGCAGATTGCTGTAGCTTTGGCACCAGTCACACCACTCCTTGCAACTTGTTGACCTGAGCAGTTGGACCAGTGTTATGGCTTAACTAACCTGTTACTGAAATAGGCCAGCAGCAAATTACTTTGTCTACAGAACAACAGGGGAACCAAGAAAAGAACTGCCTGCCATCCCTTATTCAGACAGATGTAAAATCTCTATCTTAAACTAAGTGATTTCTGTTAGTACAGTGTTGTAGATGTTTACCTATAGAGACCTGTATTAGAGTTAGTTTAACACCAAAGCTTCCTTTCCACACCAATGATTTCATTTAGGTATATCCTGCATATAAGTGGATTTTGAAAACAAATGAGAGGGATAACAAACAGGATAATGATTATTACGCACAGCAGCTTGCAAAGGTGATGATGACGATGGTGTTAAGATACCAATAAGCCCTGAGGTAAGAGAGAGCCGCCTGCCCTCTGCAATGGTCGGTTCCTTGAAAAGCTCCGTTTTGGATGACTTTGGGGCACTGGAGTAAGACTTGCTGAGTAACTTATGATTCTTCAGTCCATCCAATTCTTCCATTCTAAGATTACTGGAATAAGACCTGCTTAAAAGTTTGTGGGGCTTCAAGGTGCTGTTGTGCTCACATCGAGGATCCCCAGAACATGATCTACTTAGTAGTTTATGGGGCTTTAGAGTGATGCACTCTTCTTGTTTGACAGCTGTAGAGCAGGAGCGGTTCAACAGTTTGTGCGATTTAATAGCCATTGTCTGCTCAGCCCTAGGATCACTAGACAGCGAGCGGCCAAATGTTCTGTGAGATTTTGTGGTGCAAACATCGTCAGCCTTAACTGTACTAGAACAAGTCCTTCTCAGCAGCTTGTGAGTTTTGGAGATGCCATCTTGTTCTGATTTCAGTTTTGATTTGTTTTTACCACAGCCAGGTGGAGGATAACTTGGCGACCTTCAAAATAAAGAGGAGAAGAAATCAGCTGAGCAACAATCAAAGTCTCTAGAAGATAAACAAGTAACTACGTGTAACAAAGGGCCAAATCTATTCTACTTATTAGGCACATAACTGGACTTAGGCATCTAAGTGTGATTTTATTTTACCTGGTTGAGCCCCAGAAAAACACTTAATGCAAAGGGTGGGTAGGTCCTCCTTTTCCTTGCTGAATGTGTGTGACTTATTCTTAAGGGTAAGAGGACAATGTATTACAAAAGTTAGATGTATTAATGTGGTTTTCAGGATGTGAACAGGCTGGAATAGAATCAGCTTAGAATCAGAAGACCCAAGAGATAAAATATAAATAGAAATCTTCTTTTTGGAGGAAAGGCGACACCTCCCCTTATTAAGTATCGTGCTGAATGAAGAGGATGTGACAATAACAGTTTATTTTTCTTGTTATTACCTGCGCAAGGTAGAAAAGATGTGCAGAGGGGATTTCACTTTTTTCTCCGACAATTTCTTGTTGTGCGTACAATTTGATTTTTCTTTACTATTTTTCCACTGTTGTGTAACAAATGTTTGCATGATCCTGAGAATTAAAAAAATATATTTTTCTCATATTTTTCAGAGTCAATATTAAGGTCTGTTCATTCATCTCCTTATGCCACACAGGACCCTCATTTTATTAACAGCATTTGAGAGCTACGTAGGAGAACATAGGACAATATTTGTGTTTAACAATAACTATTTTATTGTGGGAAACTAATGCACACAGGGTGGAATTTTACTTTCCCTCTTGTGTCAAAACAACAGCTTTCTAGGTGGGTAGGTGGCATTTTTAGCACTTACACACAGGCTGTATGAATGAGTAATCACACACACATATACTAAGCATATACAGTAGGAAGTAGTGGCCATGCCTGGTCATGTATGCATGCCCATTCTGGACACACCTGTATCTAAGTCAAAAGAATGCAGATGATCCGAAACTCATAACTAGCAGGTGTTAGACTTGAGAGAAGGAGGAGCTCCCCTGGACAGCCAGAAGATGATATGAGACCAAAAGGAAGAGAGCAAGCTAGGGGATGTTCAGGTCACTGAGATAACTGTTGCCCCAGAAGGGAGCAGACCTTTAGGTCTTGCCCAGATTCTTGTTCCCATTTGAGCAGAAATTTCTCCAGTACGCTGCTTTCTGTCCACTTTACCCAATTACTATTAAGTGCAAGGGGCAGTGGATCAGCCTCAAAAGGAGCATGAGAGAGGAGCTTGGATAATGCCTGATGTGTAGTGTGGTAGTTATAGAACTGTGCTAGGAAGCTAGAAAGACACCAGTTCAAGCCTCCTCTTGGCAAGGGGGCTGGGAGCCCATGTCTCTGGTTTTCTAGGCAAGTATCATAACCACTTAGCTACTAGAGATGAAACAAAGGGGGGCAGGGGAAGAAGCACTTTAGTGGGGGAGAAAAAGCATTAGTTATTCCAGGACTTACACTCAGGTTACAGTGCACATACCTGGCTGGTGTGTAGTCCTATTGTATATGCTCAGTCTACACTCACGTGCTTACACATCTACAGCATAAGGCCAAGGCAAAAATGGTCAAGGAGTTGGCTAGAAAACTGCCATTTAGACACACAAAGGAAAACAGAATTCCCCCCATAATATCCAAATCATAGATACATCCTGCATAAGAGAAAGCTGGAAGATATTTGAAAGTGTATTTTTACAGGACTGATAGAATGCAAGGGTGTTTACAAATAGGGATACATGCCTGTTAAGGTTACAGTGGATGATAGTATTGGCCTAACTGGAAATTTAATTGTTTTTCAAAAATTCTTGTCCACAGGAATGAAGGACTATGAGACATGACTATTTAAAATGTTCTGCTAAATTAGTATGCACACACACAATTACATTTGCTTGACAAAATACCTCTTGTAAAAGCACCTAATATGTGATTCAAGATTACTGGAATTAATGAAATCCAGTGTTAGGTGATTTCAATTATTTTTGTGTGTGTCACATTATCCTAGTAATGTTAATGTGACTGATTTATTTGTAAGGTTATTAAAACATTAAACAGTTAGCTCTTAGGTGCCACCCTGACCTGCTTTCTGCCTGATTTCAGACTAATGTGGTTTAACCATGTCTCAGAATTTTGTATTGATAATTTCTTTAAACACCAAGCAGTAAAGATCTTTTTTCAGGGAACAAACTGACACTTCTAAAAGATTGAGACATTTAAACATATATTCCTGTTGCTTAGCATTATTGACTCATCAGCATTGTAATTAACTGAATTATATCATGAACTGTGCTATATGAAGTGGCTAAATCTTCTCAGGTGTCCAATGTGGTTGTTAGTATAAGTGCAGCAAAACCTAGAGATCTCTCAACAGTCATCAGAGCCCCATTGTGTCACCCTGGAGTGAAATTGAAGCCAATATTCACACATACCAGCAGACTCTCCCTATGCTTGAAGAAAGGTTTTTGTGTCCAAAAGCTTGCAAAGAACAACTTTTCCAACTATTTATTTGGTCTAATAAAATATAGCACATTTACCCAAAAAACTTTGTCTGTCAATAAGAAATAGAACATTCTTAGATGCAAACTCTTTGAGTTCTCTCACTTTATACATACTACCTGAAGTGCAACACAAATGGTTGCAGACATATTTATATGGATCAGGATTGAAGATATTTTTCAGTATTATCACAACAGCATCTGAAAATGGGAGACACGTTTTTTATATGTAAAGTTGGGAGCTGTTTGTCTGAATCAGATCTACAACCCATCTGTTAACTGTGGCTTACTTTATACAATGCAAGAGCTAACACAGCATAACCACAAAGTTGCTACAAGGCTTTAGATTCTTCCCAGAACTTACTTTTTCAGTTGATGTCCCAACCCAAATCTTTCCTTAGTAGAGATCTGAAATACATCCACAGTGGGTACTGGAGGAAAAAAAAAAGATGTTGGTGATGCATGTGTTTCTGTAGAAATGTGTGTGTTAGTACAGGTTAACAGAGAGAACTGATTATTGCATTATTAGTCATGTGTTACTTATGGGCCACAATTCATGCTGACATCTAACTATAGTAATGTCAATGAAGCAGTGATGAAAACAGTAGTATTTCCCAAGTCTCTGTAGAATATGGTCCTTTTTGTAGTATCGGGTGGCAATGCATTTTATGTTATATTTAAAATGCATTCACTCCCTCTATTAATTGCAATTTTTTTTCTTTTTGTTTATAAAATCTTTACTTATGTTAGGGAAAGTTTAGACAGAAGAAAACTTAACTTTCTATTTGTTAATTATATGTCTCTGATATATCTTAAGCTTCTCTTGTCCATGAAAATAGCTCCAATTCAAGATTCCCCAAGAGAATCTTTTGAATCTCTTCTTGTACTAGAGGTTGGTCTTTGCTACCTTGAAAAAACATACCTTTTTACTTAGTCATTTTATCTTTACTTTGTGGGGATGCAAAGTTTTGTCCTTTGTTCCATAGCCTTTTGTTTGTTATTTACTAGTCTTTAACAGCTCTCAGAAAATATGGACGAAATGCTACTCAAAGGCCACGTTTATATGAGACACCGGCTGCACAGTAGCCCAATACTACTCCGCAGCAGGGGTATGTGAAACAGGCCATATTCAATTTGGATTCAGACCCGAATTAGGGACAGTGATTCGATTTGTTGATTTGGAGCACTATCCCGATTCGATTTGGCCAAATCCGAATCTGAAGATTCGATGCTGATTCGGAGAATCAGCAATTCGGCCATAGACACAGCTTTAAATGTTTTTTCTACACACCTCAAGGTACCAGGCATGGCTCATGAATGCTGCGATGGTGGGGCAGATGAAGCATCTCACAGGAGTGCAGGGGGTGGGGGCGCATGCTCAGCGGCAGTACTTCTGGTCCACTTCTGGGTCCGCTGCCAAGTGTGTGGGGGACCCCCATGTTCCCCTGGCTTGGAGATTGGCCACAGACCCAGGAGGCACCAATCCTGAGCTGGGGGAGGGTCCTCCATGTGCTCCGTGGTAGACCCGGAAGTAGAACAGAAATGCTTCTGGCCCACTTCTGGGTCTGCTGTCAAGTGCTCTGGGGACCCCATTGCGCTGCCATGGGATGCTCCATCTGCCCCAGCCTCACAGCATTCATGAGCCACCTGGTACCTTGAGGTATGTAGAAAAAACATTTAAAGTTGTGTCCATGTCTGAATCATTAAATCTCTCTGATTTGGTTCAGAGAGATTAAGGGGTCTCTTGATTCTATTCAGATTCGGAGATTTGGCCACTGAATTGGGCTGAATCTCCACCGAATTCAATCAGCAACTGCAGCTTCGCACTGCCCTACTAAGCAGTAGCATCGTGTGGCAAAAATTGTGATGCTATGCTACTGTACGGTAGTATTAGGCTACTGTGCAGCAGTATCACAAAAAAGCATTTGTTGGTGCTACTGCACAGTTACTCAGGTTACTGAACATTCATTTAGCACTTGTTTATACAAGTAATAAATAAATGCGCAGTAACAACTGCACAGTAGTTCCAATGAACGGAACATATACACAGGTAAGCAACAGGGGCCAGGGCAATGCTGTGATTAGGGGGCCAGTGCTCACAACCACAGGAGGCCTCAAATGCCTCTACACAAATGCTCATTGTATGGGAAACAAGCAGGAGGAACTTACCCTCCTGCTAGCTAACACCAACCCAGACACAGTGGGGCTCACTGAAATGTGGTGGGACCCAACACATGACTAGGCGGTGAATATCAAGAGCTGTAGGCTGTACAGGAGGGACAGGACAGGGAGGAAAGGCGGGGGTGTGGCACTCTACATTAAGGAGGAATACACATCCTCATCAAGTAGCACAGAGTCAGAGGAGGGGCACACAGAAGTGCTCTGGGTTAAAATACAAGGCAGTCGAGGGGAAAGAAACTTAACGGCGGGGGTCTACTACAGACCACCCAACCAAGGGGAAGAGCTAGACCAGGAATTCTTAAGTCAGCTCATGGAGGTAGTTAGGTCAAAGGATGTGGTCATCATGGGTGACCTGAACTTTCCACAGATCTGCTGGAAAGAGCAGTCAGCCAGGTCTGACCATTCACGTAGGTTCCTAGCCAAAATGCAGGACATCCCTCTAACCCAGGAGGTGCACAGCCCCACCAGGGGAGACGCCTTGTTGGACATGGTGCTGGCCACGGGTGACGACCTGGAGAGGGGGCTGTGGGTGCTCGACCACCTGGGCGACAGTGATCATCGCCTGCTGGAATTCACCATCAGTGCAAGTTGGCAAAGGCCTGCAGCAAGGCAGCAGCCCTAGATTTCAGGAGGGCAGACTTCAATGAGCTAAGGAGAATAGTCGGGGAGGAACTGAGGTCCCGGAGGGGAGGGGAGTCGGGTGTCCAAGAAGAGTGGTCATTCCTTACAGAGATGATCCTGAAAGCCCAAAGGGAGGTAATCCCAACATGG